ACAACATCGTGATGTAACCATGACAACATCGTGAAGAAATCGTGACAACATCGTGATGTTAACGTGACAACGTTGTGATGTCATCGTGACAACATCGTGATGTGATTGTGACAATATAGTGATGTCACTTACAAAACATCGTGCTGCCACTGTGAAAACATCGTGATGTCACTGTCAAAACATTGTTTGTGACGTATAGAAAAGTTAAACACAATTCTTAGACGTTTTGTCTTTAAACCCAGTTAAAGACTGTGCAATAGTTCATAACTTAGGAAGAATGTTACCATAAACTAATGCGATTCTTATACTCTAAACTCAGTTTTGTCACATCAAATGTCGGTTTGAGTTTAGAAGACGGTAAAGAGGGAAGGGGTAAGGGTCCTACGAATGTTATATTATACGTGATGTTTTAGTCTATAATAATATTATATAATAGCATTCGTTGTAGGTTTGGATTGAAATTTACCTTTTATTACTATATTGTGTAAATGATTCTATATAAAAGCGCGAATGGGGATGGAATGGATACACCATAAGTAAACCAACAAGCAACATCACCAGACAGGCACTAGACTGGAATCTCAAAGGAAAGAGGAAAGAAGTTAGGATAAAACAATCTAGGAAAAAGGTCTGCTGTAGGAGAAGCAGAAGCAGCCGGAATGTCGTGGACCCAACTTGGAATAATCGCCCAGAACCGTGTACGATGGAGAGGTGTGGTTGCGGCCCTACGCTCCATAAGGGGTTCTCATGAATGATGATGATGATGGTTCGAAACCTTTAGTTTTAGAACCTTCCGTCTAAGATAGAGGTCCTTAACCTTTTTGGACGTAACGAACCCCCCCCCCCCCCCCCCCCCCCCCCCCCACATACACACCCTCCCAGTTTCAATTGTGCATTCACCCAACCCTTCTTATGAGATCCGCACTAACAAAGTCCAATTATAAGAGTCCCTGTGTGTATCTTGATGTGTGTCTTAACCTCCGCCGAACCCCAGAGACTGTCTCATCGAACCCCAGAGGTTTGATCGAACCCAGGTTAAGAACCCCTGATCTAAGATCAACATGACACAGCCGACTAAATACGCCTTGCGCGAGCCAAGAAAAAATCTAACACTGAAGGCGTTGGTTAAGCCACATGTACATAATTACTTCCTCGATCTCATTCTTACTGACACGGCGATTACTGTGTGGACGTAGTGGCATTGTTGTGAGGAGTGGGGTGGTAGTGAGGGAGGGGGCATGTCTGGTGGTGGGTACACGTTCTCAATAAGTGTATAATTGGCTTTTCGATAGGTAATCATGTTCTGGGCTTTAAACTAATCCGGTAATGGCTTTAGAGATCACCGTGGCCTGGTAAAATGCAAGACGATTTATATGTAAAATATCGTGTAAGGTGTGACAGAGGCGTAGCGAGGGGGTGGGGGGGGGGGGGGGGGTCGGGGGTGCGGACCGCACCGGGTGACACCATTTAGTAGGGTGACACCAAGGCAAAAAATAGCAAAATATATAAAAAAACTTGATCGGGGGTGCAAATCGAAAGTTTGAGGGGGGGGGGGGGGGGGGGGGGTTCAAATCGAAAGTTTGAGGAGGGGGGTCGGTTCAAATCGAAAGTTTGTCCCCGGGAAGGGTCGCTATACCTCTGGGGGGTGACACCATTAAGTGCCGCACCGGGTGACACCCGACCTCGCTACGCCACTACGGTGTGTGTTTCAAAGCTAGTCTTTTTAAATCGATGTAACTAAATTGTAAGGCGTGGTAGTGTTGTTAATTAAATTAACCCGATTTTCGATTCACCTATGTAGGTTTTGTTTAGTTAGCTCTGGAGCTAAATACTGACCATAGTGTGGATTCGTGCTAGCTAATGTGGTGAAAATCTCGATTTCGATTTTTTACACGATTACAATACCTCCTCTATACTCCGTATACGAGAAAGTAAAAAAAAAAAGAACGCTACAAACTTGCCGTCCTAAATGATCTATTTACACGCTACGTACAGCACCGTAAATAAAAATTGTGTATTACGTCACGTATTTCGGGTGACTCGCGCTAGACGCAGTATTTTCCTTTCATGGCGGCGTTGCCAATGACAACGTTACTCTGAAGAAACGAAGAAACGAAAGCTTTAAACTGCTATTGAATTCTTAATGCAGTCTAAATCATACAACGCATATGTGTGTGTGTGTGTGCGTGCGTGTGTGTGTGTGTGATATAGTCAAATTCGATTTTCATATCCAGAGTCGACTAAGTTATTGATTTTTGCTTCAAAGTAATTAAAATCTTTTTTAAAAAGTGAAGAACAATTTTAGTCCTGAATGTACAGAGGGCAAATATAGTAGAGTTCATCTGGTTCTGTGATGTTTAATGAAACGATGTTTTGGTCAACATTGCGGCCTGCGGTCTATCTAAATCTATCTAGGTAGCTCTCAAAGCTGGGCGGGATTAAGGCAATTTTACAAGTTAATGGAAAACAAAATCGAGTCGAACCCTGTTTAAACTCAAGACATTTGTATTCCATATTGTATACCTGACTGCGTGCTCGAATAGTAAAGCGTACGACTGCTAACTTGAAAGTCTCAGGTTCGGATCCCTGGCTTAAGTCTGTAGGACGTACCTGAGTCTACCCAGCTCTGATGGATACCCAGCTTATGTTAGGGAAACGAAGGCGGCTGGGCAAGTGCAAACCACAGTATGCCGTGGGCGATGAAACAGATAAACTCTACTTCACCAGCTCTATTTACTAAGCACGAACGGACAGTAAAGGATGGTTATGATTGTATACTCTAACCACACGAGCACAGGGTGAAGACGAAATGCAAAGTGTTTCCATATAATAGTTAATTAATGATGAACGCGTCACGATAGTTAAATAAACCGGGAGTGATCTCCCCTAAACTTTCTCGAATATTCTTATATAAAATAACAGGGGATGGGAACTCGGGCTATAGACATGATTTTTAATCCATTTTAAATACTTAGTTTTAATAAACCGGGAGTGATCTCCCCTAAACTTTCTCGAATATTCTTATATAAAATAACAGGGGATGGGAACTCGGGCTATAGACATGATTTTTAATCCATTTTAAATACTTAAAGTTTTAAAAATAGAATAAAATCTCGTAGACAAATTAATTGCACACCAAGTGAACGCGAAATAAAAAAGCGCATAATAGTGCGCAATATTATTAGTACTTTTAAAATTTACATTAGTTTTTTGAGAAATCGGAAGTAGCGTAAATTACTACTTCCAGTCAACGGAAATTACTCAAAATTTAACAGAAGGTAGAGAATTAGATCTTTTACTTACATGTGAAATTTCATTTATCTATCTGAAATAGTACTCAAGTTATAGGCTTTTGAAAAATTCAAAGTAGAAAAAGTACCACTTCCGGTTATCGGAAATCGCTCAAAAGTTGATACGGATCTACGATTTTGATATAATACTTATATATGAAATTTCATCAACCTAGCTGTAATGGTACTCAAGTTATCGTGTTTACACACGGACACACACACAGACACACAGACACACACACAGACATACGGACAAGATTGCAAAATTATGTTTTTCCGTATCAGTGAGGTGTAAAACGTCGAGATTTGTAAAAATCTCGATTTTTTTTTTGCACGATTACAATACTTTCTCTATACTACGTATATACGAGAAAGTAAAAATGAAAACAGACGAAAAATTAGAATTCTTCCACTAGACACAGTACCAAAAGAAAAAAAAATTGGAGGGCATCAACATTAAAAGTGAAATTTACTTTTTAATCTAGCATCGTGGTCACAGTGTGACAAAATTGTGACAACATTGTCATGTCAATGTGACACTTTTCGACACATCATAACGCCACCGAGACAACAATACGATGTCATACTGATAACATACACATAAATAGTGGGTAGGGGGGATATGAAGGTTAGAGGGTAGGTACTTCCCCCCCCCCCCCAACCCCCCCACATTACGAGTAAGACGGTACTAGATTCCTGGACCATCGCGCAAATAATTGATTTTGTCATTAAAAATTACTCAGGCAACATTAAAAGAAACATGTTGCGTATGTGTTGTACTGAGAAAAATTTAGGTTACGATGCTTAACATAGAAACCAATAGAACATATTTTTAACAGTTCCCTTACATGTTTTGTGTTACAGTTCAACAACATTAGACCAATAACATTTACATTACTATCATGTACACCACTGACATGTACACCAGTGAAATTTTCACCACTAAAATGTACACCACTGAAATGTTCACCAGTGAAATGTTCACCACTGAAATATACACCACTGAAATGTACACCACTAAAATGTACACCACTGAAGTGTACACCACTAAAATGTACACCAGTGAAATGTACATCACTGAAATGTACACCACTGAATATTACATAACTGACTTGTACACCACTGAAATGTACACCATTGACATGTAACCCACTAACATGTACACCACTGAAATGTACCCGAATAACATGTACAACACTGATAAGTACACGACTTAAATTATGTACACCACTGAAATGTACACCAGTGAAATGTTCACCATTAAAATGTACACCAGTGAAATGTACACCAGTGAAATGTACACCAGTGAAATGTTCACCATTAAAATGTTCACCAGTAAAATGTACACCAGTGAAATGTACACCAGTGAAATGTACACCACTGAATATTACATAACTGACTTGTACACCACTGACATGTACACTATTGACATGTAACCCACTAACATGTACACCACTGAAATGTACACCACTAGAATGTACACCTCTGAAATGAACCCGAATAACATGTACAACACTGACATGTACACGACTTTCGTGATGTATACAACTGACATGGACACAACCTACGTGTACACCACTCATATGATACACATGACTGACAAGTGAAAAGATAATACTTAGTACTTGTTAGATTTGTACCCAAATAACATTAATACTATAAATATTATACCATATATATAAATAAATGAAATTAAGATTAAAACCTTACCTTATATCTTACGTCTACCTTACTCCAGTAGTCACCTAACAAACAGTCAGGTCTACTCCAGACTGAATGAAAACAATCCCCGTAACTCGGATCAGAGTTCACCCCCACCAGTTAGATATGAAACACGAGTTGTCGCCCGTGAAATCGTAAGAAGGAAAGTCTTTACAAAACGACAAAGGCCGGCTGAAAGAAAATCCGAAAGGCAGAGTTTTCACTGACTTACATTGAGGGTTAGAAACCAACCATGCCTGGTCGATATCCGATATCGATCGATAGCATGTCTACAAATTTAGTGTGCCGTGTGGGTATTGAAAAACCGTCTAGTCGGTGTTGGAGAATGAAAGGATTAGAATCTTTAAAGGTTTACGGTGGATTATTGTAGGACCAGTTGTGGGTAATATATTACTGCGCTGAACTTGACTATTATATATGCTGAATATGTAATGAATAGGGAGTTTAGATTGTATGAAAGTTTTAAAACATTATTTATGCATGTAAAATCCAGATTGATTTTCCGGTGTCTAAGTTAACTATATATACATTTATATATATATATATATATATATATATATATATATATATATATATATATATATATATATATATATATATATATATAGACATTTTCTAAGCGTTGTTCTCAAAGTCTAGCTTTCCCTTTATTTCTTCTTCACTTCTTCTTCGTTCTTAATTTTAGTGTTAGAAGGGGTCCACCTCCAACACAATTAAGGATACGTGTCAACTGGTTATGCGTCATTGATCTGTTAAGACTGTATTAAGTTTTTAAAGCAACAATTTATAACGTGGTAATATTTTGCTTGAAAAATAGTTTAACGAAACCACATTTTTTTGAAGGCAACTTTTTTTCAATGTAACTTAAAATTTATCAAACATGCTTAAACAGTGCAGTCAGTTTATTAGCCAGCTACTCAAATAACCAACTGTTACCCACACAAATAATAACAAACTGTATACACACAAATAACCAACTGATACTAACACAATAAAAAACAAACTGGTATACACAAAAATCGTCCAATGGTAACCACACTAGAAGCCAAGTTTAGAAACCTTGTCCTTGTTATAATTTTTAATCTGAGCAAAGTGTCACTGTACCAAAACATTCAGCAGACGGTTGAACATTTCAACTAGTTACAAGTTATTTTTTTTTGGGGATATATACTTTCAAAGATATATATATATATATATATATATATATATATATATATATATATATATATATATATATATATATATATATATATGTATATATATATAGGCACTATACATCATAACACTTAATGTAAGCATGGCTTAAAGATAGATAACACGGAAATTAATATTTTAAGTTACATTTTCACGGTCCCTTCCCTTATCTGGTAAACCTATAATACTCGTTAAATCACTGATTACAAAAAATATTTCCAGTTTGTAAAACGATGTAAAAAGTTATAAAAAACAAGGCTTTTTAAATTTAGTCATATATAAAGTCATTCTAATCAAGCCTTTGAGACTTCATATTGAAATATATTGTAATTAGTTGCTACAATTCTATACAATAGTCGTTTATTGCTTCCACGACAGATAATTCACTTTTCCTGATAAACAGCCGTCATGATTTTCTTTTAACACTAAATTTATGACCTTTCGGTTTCGTATGTAGGGCAAACTTTGAATAAATACTATTGTTTAAGTGATTTATACATAAAAATGTATAGATTTAAGAGGAAGTGATTCATTTATACAATGAGGAAATAAAATGTAGACTGTTTGGTATAAGCAAACATAATCTAGCTAAGATTTTTTGTTATTCAGTAAAGGATGTTTTACAGTGAAGATGCTAGCTATGCGTGAATGTGTTTCTATGGAGGACATTATTTTTCGAATTTGATTTGTTTTTAAATGTACATAATTATAGAAATATGTCGTCAATTGTTTTAAATGTAGTTATTTCTTTAGATGTGTATGAAATTGTTTATAGCGTTTAAAATTAAATCTACCCATATTACTAGAATATTTTTTTAAAACATTGACACGTATTTGAAAAAAAAACACCTCTTTGTAACATGCTAGTTTTGTAATCAGAATAATATCGCTTGTTAACTAGTTTACCCTTTACCAGTTGTTACTAACCTTTCTTGGGGGACCGAACCCCACCAATTTCATATAAACATTCACTGAACCCTTCTTAATAGCTGTATCGTCCACACTGACATAAACATCTTGAGGCGGGTGTTTGTCTAGACCTCCACCGAACCCCTGTGACTGACACACCGAACCCCTGTGGTTCGTTTGAACCCAGGTTTAGAACCACTGCCCTAAATACAATGCTAGATCTTGAGTATAGTTCTGTAAACTCTAAAAATTATAATTATGGTCCGTTCATTATGACTACTAGGAACTTTATAACACATTATTTTTCTTTCAATTACTTCTGTTTTTTATTATTAGGATTTCATCTTTTAAACATGCATTGTATTAGTTGACAGTTGATGTTGTAAAGGCTAGAACAATACAAATAGTTTCCCCATATCTAATTAGGAAAGGCATTTAACCTGAATGCTACTTCCCTAATTTTGAAAGAAAAGTCTTTAGTCTTTATATATATATATATATATATATATATATATATATATATATATATATATATATATATATATATATATATATATATATATATATATATATATATATATATATATATATAAGCTAAAAGACTTTTTTTCAATTATACATATTATATATATATGTATATATATATATATATATATATATATATATATATATATATATATATATATATATATATATATATAGGCCTATATATATATATATATATATATATATATATATATATATATATATATATATATATATATATATATATATATATATATATATATATATATATATATATATATATATATATATATATATATATATCATTTTTGTGGAAAAAAACATTCAATCTTGAAATAGCTTCCCAAAATTTAGCAGAATGATCTTGCATCTATCAAATTTTGAGAAGAACACAAGCCAATAAAGCAGACTTACCATGGTAAAATAGAAGACTCATTAATTAATTAAACCCAGAGGCGTAGCGAGGGGGAGGGGGGGGGGGGTTGCGGACCGCACCGGGAGACATCATTTGGAGGGGTGACACCAAGGCAAAAAATAGCAAAATTTATACAGAAAAATTATAATTCCACTTAATTAAATATTAATTAGAGTGTTAAATAGTCTTTTAAGAGCAAATTTGACAAATCCCGACAAGGGTGGAGAGGGGGGGGGGGGGAGTATGACACCATTAAGTGCCGCACCGGGTGACACCTGACCTCACTACGCCTCTGATTAAACCAAAATAAGCATGCCTTTTTAATATTGTTGTATTACTAAAAAAATTATCGGAATTTTGTCATAGTTAAATGTACTTTACTGAATAAAAATAAATTGTTTTCCAGAGTTATTTTGCATATAGAACAAGTACCGTAGCAATAATGTTTTTAAACAAATTTTAAAGAAAAGATTATTCTCTTGCTGTAATAAAACATAAAGGTAATGTTCCCCTTTGAACATGACGGTCCATGGGGAAAGTAAAGTAGAGTTCACCTGTTTCTGTGACCTGGGCATATGAAGAAATTGTGTGGGTAACACTATACCCAATCGCCTTTACTTTCCCTAACGCGAGTCAGGTACCTATCAGAGCTGGGTGGACTCAGGGACACTCTACTGACTTAAACCCGGATTCGAACTCGAGACGTTAGTGTTAACTCTTGCTAATATAAAATACGTTATAGTTTTCCTTCTCTTATTTAATTATATTTTTATTTTATTTTCGAAGACAAATGCTACGCTTGATTGAAAGACAAAGACATTGTTGAAATTAAACAACACAATCCAAAACCAAGATGGTTGATTATGAAATACCTTTAATAGCGACTCTCGTCTTTGTAATCATCATGTTTATTCTCTTCTTCTTCATCTTCTTCAGAGAGTAAGTATTTCAAGGCACAAACTCACACAAACAAACGGACGTACCCATTCATGAAAACTTTTAAAAAGGTTTTATGCACATAGACAGAGAACTTGCGTATGCTCAACAAGGGGTCCATAGGAATGATGATGACATTGACATAGAGAGACACAGAGAGGCCTACATAAACACAGACGTATATAAACAGAGGGAGAGAGAGAAACAGATAAAGACAATCTTACCGATTTACAAAAAACAAATGCAAACCTTAGAAACACACAAATATTCACATACATACCCAAAAGGTCGTACACACTGGCACATTGTTATAACTGCTGTGTTCTATATGTGTACCACAGTTATGCAGTGAGAGGGTACAACTACCTGATCCAATACCATCTTTCCATATCACCACCATTTGATTATGTTTAGCTATGCTACAGTATATCTTGAGACACGACGACATCAACGCTCACGAAGGATTTGACAGAACGACATCGGTTACTAACTCTATTTATTGCACAATAGAAATGGACATCGGACAGCTTGGATAAACGATACTACAACTAGACATCCTAACTCTAACGTAACACGGACAAGACTAACTTCAATCTTCTTCCCTGGCAACAACGAACTCACACTAAAACGTCACTTTCTTGCGTACCGCGTCACACACTCATTCGTTCAATATACGGCCGCACCATCAATCATGCGCACCCATTGCCCTAGTCAAACATGCATCATAACATTACCCCCCTCTCCCTTCAAGCTAATCGCATTAGCTTTATTTATTACTTCAATAATACAACATTCTGTTTTACCTAACAATGGCAACTATGGTAGCATTCACACATAGACCTTAAAGACTAGACAATTTTAACTAATTCTTGAAGTTCCAGTTCAGTTCATGTCTCCGCGCGCACAAACATATTTTGACGATTCTGCAAAGTATACATCTCAGATCACCAGTTGGGCACACATCCTACAATCACACTTCACGTAAAGGCCAGGATTCCATACAATGTCGACCCAAACATCACCTCAGTTGTACTGAAAAGAAATATTATTTCTAACGGAAAACAACATGTTACTACTACTCAGTTATCATTATCTAACATAGTCTCTCTAACCTAATGTATTAGACTTAATCTAATGTAGTACCTCTTCTGTTAACTACGCTACATTATTTATATAATAAATCACATCTCACGCGTTAATTTAGTACTAAGTAATTAAGTAACCACATCAAATTTCATAAATCACTTTATCACCTGCATATATTCATCTCCTGTTACAATGACATGTACCAATAATAATTCTTAACATCTTCAGTAACCAAATACGATATCACATAGAGGAGTATTTTCCCTAGAACCCTTAAATCCATGTCCAGGTACTCGGTACATCCTCGAGCTACCCACAAAAAAAAATCTGACTGCATCCTCAGTCTTGAAATCAACTAACTACCGATGAAGCAACCGACCAACGAACTATACCCCTGCTGGCCGGGTGACGACACCAAATTATCTTAAAACAACATTATCCTAATCTACTGGGTTCCTTACGCTAAGAAAACAAACCTCATAGGATAACATATCATCACATATCATACATTGAAGATCATCTCATTATGACTAATATAACAAATCAAATCCAGATCATAGTGACATTCTCATCTTGTCAACAACATAACACCGCCCTCAAACCGGCGTGTCTACATTAACTATAACAATATCAATTATCACTAATACTGATGTCTTATCTATCATACTACAACCCTCATCAGCATAACACAGCAATGGGCTCACAATACCTACAGCCCCTGCTTAATCGCTACAACTTTTTGTTTCACTAAGACGTAATAGAAAAAAAATGTACATGCCTACTACTTAAAAAATATATGAAGAGGTACTACTTATCTAATTTGTAGAACTTGGGCATCATCGTCGGCTTCATCGCACAACACACACTTCCCACACAGATCCCCTTGTCCTTCACAACACAGATCCTCCCAGCACGGTCTTCACGTCAGGGTCCTCACAACACGGTCATCACATGTTCTCCCCACACGGTTCTTCATGGCACGGGTCCTCACAGCACGGGTCATAACGGCATGGGTCATCAGAGCACGGGTCTTCTTAGAACTGGTCTTCATACGTATGTCTTCAAACACGGGTCTTCTTAGCACGGGTCTTCACACACGAGTCTTATTAGCACGGGTCTTCACACACGAGTCTTCAACATGGGTTTTCACGCTGGGATCTTCACACACGGTTTTCACAATAACAGTTTATATATCACAGAGACATAATCCGTACGAAAATTATGTCGATGGAACTTGACTGATTAGACACTGATAGCGTTTTCTGACTAGATTCTAGATGTTATTTCCGCCGACTAGCTTCTAAGTGCTTTTAAGTTACTTCGCCTTGCAATACTACTTCATGCTGTTATACTGTTTGAGCTGTCTTCATTCTGTTATAGCTGCTTCATGTTACTATAGCTGTTTCAAGTTAATACTGCTCCACCATGTTATAACTGCTGTGTTCTATATGTGTACCACAGTTATGCAGTGAGAGGGTACAACTACCTGATCCAATACCATCTTTCCATATCACCACCATTTGATTATGTTTAGCTATGCTACAGTATATCTTGAGACACGACGACATCAACGCTCACGAAGGATTTGACAGAACGACATCGGTTACTAACTCTATTTATTGCACAATAGAAATGGACATCGGACAGCTTGGATAAACGATACTACAACTAGACATCCTAACTCTAACGTAACACGGACAAGACTAACTTCAATCTTCTTCCCTGGCAACAACGAACTCACACTAAAACGTCACTTTCTTGCGTACCGCGTCACACACTCATTCGTTCAATATACGGCCGCACCATCAATCATGCGCACCCATTGCCCTAGTCAAACATGCATCATAACACACATAAATAACTTAATTCATCATAATAGCCAAGTTAAATTTCAAGTATGATTTTAATCAATCTAAATTTTTGGAAAATTAATAAACGAAAACCTGTAACTGAAAATAACGAACTCTGGTGTTTTTTTTGCACAAAACTCACAAAATGGAAGCATATAAGGGATAATTTGTTTTTTTTTTTTTCTTATTTAGCGCCTAATATTATAGCGATTAACCCTTGACACTTAGAACTTAGGGGGTCGTTTATAAATGACGTCACGCGTTCTAACGATTTTTCCCTCCCCTCCGTCACACAGCATAACAAAAAGCCAAACCACCCCTAAAACAGAGTTTCTTCCAGGAATCTTGTCACACTATCTCAACCCCACCTTCTCCCCTCCCCCGCACCACACATCGTCACTAAATTGCGCCCCCCCACACTCCCCCATACGAGGTGATGTCCTTTGGGAACGACCCGTTACTCCACCAATTTACCTTGCTCTATAAGCCTTGTATTATTTTATTCAAACTTGTAGGTACATTATCTTTTTTTTTTTAAAGAAACGTCTGTGAGTTTATATAAAGTTACATTTTTCTGATGAAATCTTGCTATTTGAAGAAAAAAATAATTTTTAATATTTTCATCTTTATTTAGTTTGTGTTTATTTATAACAAAGTCGACCAATACATTTAATTAATCACGCCGTGATACAGTTAATCTTTTGATCTATTGCTATTAGAATTTAAAGACATGTTTTATATTTTAAAATGGATATATCGTTTGTACAATATATGCTCTTATTGCTCTGAAATTAGGAAGATCAAAATCATATGTTGTAAGCATCTCGCAGTATGTGGTGGTGCTGACCTTGAAGTTCAAGAGCCGGAGAGTCCACATCACTCATACACATACATAGAATCAGTGAACATACCTGTCCATGTAAGTAGCTCTTTGTGAGTGTAGGGGGGGGGGGGGAAAGTGTCCCCAAACCCACTCACATTCATTGAATCAGTACACACCCCTGCACGAGTATGTAGCTCTAAGGGGGAATATCATCCATACCCACGTTACCCACATTCATTGAATCAGTACACACCCCTGAACACGTATGTAGCTCTAAGGGGGAATATCACCCACACCCACGTTGCCCACATTCATTGAATCAGTACACACCCCTGCACACGTATGTAGCTCTAAGGGGGAATATCACCCATACCCACGTTACCCACATTCATTAAATCAGTACACACCCCTGCACGCGTATGTAGCTCTAAGGGGGAATATCACCCATACCCACGTTGCCCACTTTCATTGAATCAGTACACACCCCTGCACACGTATGTAGCTCTAAGGGGGAATATCATTCATACCCACGTTGCCCACATTCATTGAATCAGTACACACCCCTGCACGCGTATGTAGCTCTAAGGGGGAATATCATCCATACCCACGTTACCCACATTCATTGAATCAGTACACACCCCTGAACACGTATGTAGCTCTAAGGGGGAATATCACCCATACCCACGTTACCCACATTCATTGAATCAGTACACACCCCTGAACACGTATGTAGCTCTAAGGGGGAATATCACCCACACCCACGTTGCCCACATTCATTGAATCAGTACACACCCCTGCACACGTATGTAGCTCTAAGGGGAAATATCACCCATACCCACGTTGCCCACATTCATTGAATCAGTACACACCCCTGCACACGTATGTAGCTCTAAGGGGAAATATCACCCACACCCACGTTGCCCACATTCATTGAATCAGTACACACCCCTGCACACGTATGTAGCTCTAAGGGGGAATATCATCCATACCCACGTTGCCCACATTCATTGAATCAGTACACACCCCTGCACACGTATGTAGCTCTAAGGGGAAATATCACCCATACCCACGTTGCCCACATTCATTGAATCAGTACACACCCCTGCACACTTATGTAGCTCTAAGGGGAAATATCACCCATACCCACGTTGCCCACATTCATTGAATCAGTACACACCCCTGCACACTTATGTAGCTCTAAGGGGAAATATCACCCATACCCACGTTGCCCACATTCATTGAATCAGTACACACCCCTGCACACTTATGTAGCTCTAAGGGGAAATATCACCCATACCCACGTTACCCACATTCATTGAATCACTGCTCACCCTAGCCTTGGTATCAGTGTCATTCATACTGAGTAAAAGTAACAAAGTAATTTAAAAAAAATGACTATGAGTGTGTTAAGTTGTGGGTGTGTTCTTGTATTCGCGAACAGCTCTTTATATTTTGTAACTTTGTTATAAACAAAATATATTATGTTAGAATGTGTTAGACTCAGTTGTGATGGGTTCGAATCTTTAAATGTGTTGCTAACAACATTCATCAATAGGCTGTGCTTTGTAAGCTGTTGTTGTTGAGTGAATGTCAAATCAATGGCAATTACCACGTTATATAAATATATTGTTGAGTCCAACAGTACCTTAAGCAGTAAAGACTTTTAAATCTGTTGTATTAAACTCAAGGTTGGGGGGGGGGGATTTAAAGATAACTTGGACCTTAAGTGGATCAATAATTTACATTCAATAAAGTAGAACCTACGTTTATGGTTTACACATTCCATCAACGATACAATACTGTGTACATCAGTGATTCGTACCGAATTTCTAACACTTGAATAAGGCGTAGACACATAAAAAACACTTATGTTTTCCCGGGGACAACGATCAATGCACGCACCACATTAAGAGATCGGAGTCACATCTACACGTTAAGAGAGTACTGAGTCATCTACACAACAAAGGCGAGCTTCAGGACCTGCTGTGGTAGATCAGACTTTAAATTAGGTCGCAGTCAATAACATCCGGTGTACCAGTCAACGGATAGTAATATATAGGATTATCGAACATTCTAGTCAAGTACAGTTCAAATAATATATATATATATATATATATATATATATATAATTATATACACATATATATATAATTATATATTATATATATATATATATATATATATTCATATATATATATATATATATATATATATATATATATATATATATTATATATATATATATATATATATATATATATAATATATATATATATATATATAATATATATATATATATATATATATATATATATTTATATATATATATATATATATTTATATATATATATATATATATATATATATATATATATATATATATATATATATAATTATATATATATACATATATATTCATATATATATATATATATATATATATATAATTATTTAGTGTGTATATGTATTTAGTATATATATATATATATATATATATATATATATATATATATATATATATATATATATATATATATATATATATATATATAAAATTATTTAGTGTGTTTGCAGCTTAGGTAATGTATTCATATCCTTACAGAGATAGCGACCTACATGTATAAAGCTATATACACAAAACACATCATTTTATGTAATGACGACGCGCTTTTTTTCCTGTCGATTTTCAACTCCTCCACTCCCCCCCCCCCCCCCATACACACTTCCCAACCATCACACGTAGTCATAAAGAGCCAGACACTACTAACATGACGTCACACCTCCGCCTTCTATCCCTCTCGAAGTAGCGTTTTAATTTTTTTAAACATCGAGCTCTCTGTAAAACACTGGCTGAGCTCTTAGACTATTCGATTACTATTTTACCAAGACAATTTTCTAAAATTTACATTTCAGCATTTGTCCTTTTAATGTGTGACGTCACACTATCTGAACACACTCCCCACCCTTCATCACATATCGTCAGAAAATTACAACCCTCTCCCCCCTACTAATGGCTTGAAATCATTTATGGAAGGCCCTTTAAGATATTTAGTTTTATACTTGACCTAATCAACTTCAAGCGTTTACCCGGTCCAACTTTAGATGTGATAGCGTGATTCATACTACACTTTCAAATCGAAGTAATAATTGTTATAACAGAAACGTAATATAAGAACCCCAAACAGTATATTAAGGGACAAAAAAGTTATATCTATTAACACAATCACATCATGTAATCAACCTATTTGTCTTTTAAAAGTAATAATTAATTTAACTGACAGTAACGTTAACATATTTGAAAATTAAACGAAAATAAACTGAACGTAAATTTAACATATACATTAATATTCCGAATTGAAGTTATTATTTTATTCATTATGTTTTCTAACTTTCAAATATGAATTGAATTCTCACATGCTATTACGCCTGATATTATTTTAAATTAAAACATCTAAATAAATCGATAACAAACTCTTGAGGAAATTTTTTATTGCAGGACGCAAAAATAACAGCCAAGCGAAAAAATTCCGACAAACGGAAATGCTCCATACCTGCACCACAGGAGAACATCAAGAACCGACGGGCTAGACTCGACTACAGCAAAAGGAGTCTCAGCAACCCCAGTATCTGGCAAAGCACCCGGAACAGAAACAAACAAAGCGACAAGAAACATTATTTATTCAGACGAACGAAATCATCCACTTCGTTAAATAAAAAAAAGCCTTTCCCACTGTCGAAGAACCACATCTCGCCTCCGATTCCGGTTTCGATTCCTAACCAGAAAAACGGGACAGTTTCTCGCCAGGCATCTAAAGGGGATCGTGGCGGGGATGGTGCCACAACACATCGTGAGCTGCAGTCTAACATGTATGAAAACCACACCCCTAAGCCCACCCAGCAGGTGTTGGCCGGTTGCCAGGCGACGTCACGTGATGAGGCGCTGCCGGGCGAGTACTTCAAAACGGAAGCCGGTGAAGCTACGCCCGATGACGTAACAGGGTATGTACAAAATATTTGTTATTTATAATAATTTTATTCATAAGGAAAAAACGTACAAAAGGTAATCTAGTGACGATGACGTTGTTGAATGGTACAGAACGAGACTTACCTTCCAGTTAACATGTGTTCCAATCGGCGCTTTCAATGAGAAGTAGCCCATCTGACTTACGTTAAGGAAACAAAAGGCGGCTGGGCATAATACTGGAAAACGATCATGTTTTATACCCACTAAACCAATGTTTTAGGCATCAAAAGAATTTTTTTTTGTATAATGATTTTGAATAAATATATAATTTCAATGTCTTTATAAGCTTAATAGAAAAATTTGAAAAAATAAAACGGTTTTATAAATAAAAGTAATTTACTTATATAGCAAATTGAACTAATCTACCCCGTGTAAAAAAAAGTTAGATATTTCCTGCAAGCACTGAGAAAACTACCTGTTTTAAAAATATAGTCATTACATGTTTGGGGTGATTGTCTTGTGAATGACTAGCAAAATTCTAAAATTTCCTTTTTTTCAGTGAATTGCAAGAGAAAGATCCTAACATTCAAGAAAATAGTTTACTATCATTGCATGGTTCAGTAAAATTTCAGAAACAGATCCGAAGTATAAAAATAGTATTTTAACGTTGCAGTGAATCGCTAGATAAAGACCAGAACATTCCAGAAAATAATTTATTTTCATTTTAAGTTTTAGCAAAATTTCAGAGATAGAACCGAACTTTCAAGAGTATTTTTAAAAAAAAATTCAGCGAATAGCTAGAAAAAGACCATAATTTCCATTAAACGTTTCAATGTCATGTTTTAGTAAGAATTAGAGAAAGATCCTAAAATACCAGAAACAAATTTTACTTTCATTTCATGTTTCAGTACAACTTTCAGAGAAAGATCCTAAAATTCCAGAAACAAATTTTACTTTCATTTCATGTTTTAGTACAACTTTCAGAGAAAGATCCTAAAATTCCAGAAACAAATTTTACTTTCATTTCATGTTTCAGTAAAACTTTCAGAGAAAGATCCTAAAATTCCAGAAAAACAATTTTTACTTTCATTTTTTTTTCACGTTGCAGTGAATCGCCAGAGAGAGACCCGAACATTCCAGAAAACTTTTATTTTGTGCTGTGCTCTGACGGTGTCTACTCACACCTGTCCACGCGCAACCAACGGACCATCCTACACAACATGTACAACTGTGTCAGTCTGTCAGACAACGCTGAACGACCCCGCGTCACTTGACATACCACGTCTTCTATTGCTTATACAAATACACAGAGGAAGGAACTTTTTCTATGTTGATTATGCGGCGAATAAATGTTACCTAACTGTCTTAAACATGTGTATCATTTTCATTTATAAAGAGATTAAATTAAAAAAAAAAGAATACGATAAATGGAATGTTACCTTACTGTCTTAAAAGTGTGCATTATTTTCATTTATAAAGAGATTAAATAAAAAAAAAGAATATGATAAAAGTAATGTTACCTTACTGTTTTAAAAATGTGCATCAGTTTCATTTATAAAGGGATAAAAAGAATACGATTAAGGGAATTCTTGCATGTTTAACAAAATTTTGAATTTAAGTACAATAAGAACACATATTCTTATTTTCAAGATGACTTCAATTATGATTATTATAATAAACGAGCCGGCCCGCGGCATAACATACGCCGCTATTTAGTTGTTTGTAATTTTCAATAATTCATAATTTGTGAATTCGACAGTACCAACGCTGACACTGAAAATATTTCTTTAAAACACTATAAGTAGCTCGTTAAGGACCATAACCCCCCCCCCCCCCTTCCTTCCCCCCCTCCCCCCCCCCCCCTACGTTTAAAATCGTTGGCTCTGCTTGTAAACATTTAGAGTGAACACAGCTCACTAAAACCATGTAGGGGTGGGGAGGTAGGGAGAGCGTTTGCAGCTTGTTTTCTAACGGCTCGAAGAGGAGAATTATATATATAGATTACATTTTTCATGTATCACATTCATAAAACACAAATTATAGGTCAAATTATATATATATATATATATATATATATATATATATATATATATATATATATATATATCGAAAGAAAGAGAGAGAGAGAGAGAGAGAGACAGAAAGACAGAGAGAGAAATAATAAAAAAGTAATTGCAACACAAACAAGCAAATCGAGATTCGTTAATTGAATTTTAAAAAATCATCAGCAAACTTTGTATTTGTTAAACTTTTACATAGAAAACCATTTCAAATTAATATCTCTTTGTATTTCTTAATCATACAAGATATTCATCCCATTATGAATGTAGTAATACTTGTCGAGAAAAAAATTTTCATGTATGTTATAGTTTTACATAGAAAACATTTTCAAGTTATTCCTGTATGCATTTTTTAATCATACAAAATATTCATTCAATGTTGAATGTTATGGATTACTGATTAAACTATGTCGAAATATCATTTACAGTTTCGTCTGTCCGATATCTAGTACAGTCTCCATACAAGTAAATAAGTGCGGATGGGTGGGAGGGTGTTGGGTGGAGGATAATTTTATTTTTTGTAAATTTTGTTTCATTTTAATCAAACCCTCAAGAAAAAAATAATGCACTAAATAAATACACCAGGTATAGCAGCGAAACCAACAAACGTAATTAATGGAATAAACAATTTTAATCAGTGTTGTGATGAACTTAAACACAATCAAAATCGTTAGATCATTAATGAAAACTATATCTCATTTGAAATGTACACCAGGAAACGGTTGAAGCTTGGTGTTCCAAACATTTCTGTTGAAATAAAGAACAGCCATTTCACTGCATACGTTATTAAAAATGTACGTGTACGTGTAAGTGCACTTACGTGAATGTATATGAATGAATACGAATGTATACAAATGAATACGAATGGATACGAAAATATACGAATAGATACGAATGTATGCGAATAGATACGAATGTATGCGAATACATACGAATGTATACAAATGTATGTGAATAGATACGAATGGGTACGAATAAATACGAATAGTTGCGAATGGATAAGAATGGGTACGAATAGATACAAATTGATACGAATATATACGAATAGATACGAATGGATTTGAATGGATATGTGTATGGGTATGCGTATGCGTATAGGCGTATACAAGTGTATTGGTATATATTATGAATAATGTTGTGCATAATCTTACGTTGGAGGTAACATACCATTTTCGAACAGTTGCTGGTTCGATTCTAATTAAGATGTTTGTAAATTGATTTCATTTACCTTTAATAATACTCGCAAATTCCAGATTGAGAGCTGCAAAAGCAAATATATGTATATATATATATATATATATATAGAGTAGAAAATGATAATTCTGTAATTTTATGAATGGAGGGTAATTACATGGGGTTGAGTAACGAGGTTGATTTGCCCAAGAGTAAAGCCATAGGTTGGAGTGAATAACCACAGCTATGGCGCATTGTAAACACGTGAATAGTGATACATATTTGACCATTAATACCCTTAACTACATATGGATCGTCCATAAATGACGTCACACTCGTAGGGGGAAAAGGTGGGGGGGGGGGGGGTCCGTAATTTAGTGACGGTGTGTGATGAGGACAGGGGGGTTCAGATGGTGTGACGTCACACTTTTGCATTATAAAAAAGCATTGTTAGAAAACGAGTTTTATCTGTTATATCGCTTTTTAGTAAACTGTTTAAAAAAAATTTGTAATAGGAATTGATTAGAATACTCTATGGTGAGATCAGACAAGATTTCGGAAAAAAATATCGATGTTTGAGAAAAAATTCAACTGCGATTCAGAGGTTGTAGGCTGAGGAGTGACTTCATTTTAGGGGGGGGGGGGTCTGGCTTTTTGTGACGATGTGTGACGGATTGGAGGGGGTGGTAAAACATCGTCGAAAAAAGCGCGACGTCATTTATGGAAGATCCCATACACACACACACTCGCTCTCTCTCTCACACACACTCACACACACACACATATATATATATATATATACATATATATATATATATATATATATATATATATATATATATATATATATATATATGTATATATATATATATTTATTTATTTATTTATATATATATACATATATATATATATATATATATATATATATATATATATATATATATATATATATATATATTTATTTATTTATATTCATTTATTTTATATGCTGCTTATAGAAAAAGATAACTAAAATACGCGTGGTAGATTTACAGAACATACTTGGCTTTCATTGATGTTGTCAAAAAGAAACCAGGTTAGACTTTGCAATATAAAACAGCCACACAACACGTACATATAATTGATATGCATTGGTAGATAGAAGATCACTGTGCCCGTGCATTTCAATCGGGCATAAAAAAATCCAGTGTTCGTAGAGAAAAAAATAAGAGTCTAATCAATTTAGGACACATACAACATTTGGTACCTACTTGCAGTTGAAGAAACTGCAACATCGGTTGTATAGGCAATTTTGCCACAGCCCTTGACAGACTATAAAATGTCTAACAAACGAGAAAAAAAATTTAAAACCGTACATAAAAAATTTAAATAAACTGATAGTGTTTTATGAAACTTGTTAAACATACGTTACAGCTATGGAGAAAAACATCCAATGACAACTTTAAAGTACATACCGTTTATCGATTGGTTGCTCCACTAAAAGTAAATATATATTACACTTTGGAATTTTTTAAAACTAGATTTTCATATATACACACACACACACACACATATATATATATATATATATATATATATATATATATATATATATATATATATATATATATATATATATATATATATATATATATATATATATATATATATATATATATATATATATATATATATATATATATATATATATATATATATATATATAAATATAAATATATATATATATATATATATATATATATATATATATATATATATATATATATATATATATATATATATATATATATATATATATATATATAGGGTTCCATGACAAATTATCTCAGAACAAGTAATTTCAGTCAAAATATCTCAGACAAAATATCTCACAGCAAAATTTTAGTAGTGTGTAGGATGATTTTAGTTGATCTGAACATTTTTTTTAATTGACGGTAATATGGTTTGTTTACTTTATTTAATATTGTTTATAGGCATATATAATAATTGTAAGAAAAGTCTGCCGCATAAATTTGTTATATTCCACTCAACATTTTAAAATTAAGATTACTAATATATTTTCCGAAGATTAAAGAAATTGTTCTATAGATTGCGCGTGTGAGCCTGCAAAATACGAGACAATGCTACCATGACAGGTTTGTGAAACTAGATTAAAGGAAATGAAATGTCCTGTCACCATATATATATATATATATATATATATATATAGATATATATATATATATATATATTGTTCCATAACAAATGATCTCAGGACAAATGATATATAGCTATATACTTGTATATCGTATATATATATATGCCTTACATATATATATATATATATATATATATATATATATATATATATATATATATATATTTATACAAACGTACGTACAAATTTATATATTGAACCTTTTTTGCAAATATATACCTGTATACCTTTATAAATATATTCCTAATTATATACATAAACAACGTACGTCAAAAATCATACATGCTTTAATTTACGAAGATAGTACTATTTGGCAAACTACTACAACATATTAGAAAATTACCTCTGGTTTCTTGCGCGGAACAAGTGGCTGTAGCAAACAAAGCAAGCAGGAGCATGACAGCAGTAACCTTGTACATGTTTGTCTTTCTATTGTGACGGCCACAAACAGAATGATGAGGTTAGTAGATTCGGCTGCAGGTGATCTGTTAATATTTCATTAATTCGAAGGTAATCCTTTTGCAGCATCAATCAGGATTAATTGGCGGTCTAGATTTGTGATAGGAATAATTTGTGATAGGTTGAAATTGAAAAAAAAAATAATCATCGTCTGCTGTTGATATAATTGAAATGCACGCGAGCACACACACACACTACACACACGCACGCACATACACACACAAGTAGGCCCATTTACGTATATACATATATAAATAAATAAATATAAATATAAATATAAATATATATATATATATATATATATATATATATATATATATATATATATATATATATATATATATATGTAAATTAACATATGCTGTTCAATACACGCAAAGATTAACACAATATATGAAGTACTTTAATCCGATGTGTAGCGTGTGTATACAGGTGTGTTTGTGTCAATCTGTGGTAGTAGTTGTAGTGGTTGGGCTGGTGTGTTGTAGGCATGGGTATTTCTATTCGGTTCTTTTCTGTTATTTCTGTTTCATTTATTCTATTCTGTTGTATTCTCTTCAATTTGGTTCGATTCTATTCTACTCAATTCTCTTGTGTCTATTGTGTTCTATTGTGTACTCTTCTCTTCTATTTCTGTTCTACTATGTTCTATTCTGTTCAAAACTATTCTATTCTATGCTATTGTATTGTATTCTGTTCTGTTCTGTTCTATTCTGTTCTATTCTGTTTTATTCTATTCTATTATGTCATATTCTGTCCTATTCTATTCTGTTCTAGTATGTTCTGTTCTATTCTGTTTGTTTCTGTTCTATTGTGTCAAATTCTATCCTATTTTATTCTGTTCTAGTCTGCTCTTATTAATTTCTATTGTGTCCTATTCTGTTCTGCACAGTTCTATTCTGTTCTAATATGTTCTGTTCTATTCTAAGAATATATATATATATATATATATATATATACATATATATATATGTATATATATATATATATATATATATATATATATATATATATATATATATATATATATATATATATATATATATATATATATACACTACCGCATGGGTCGGCAACCTGCGGCTCGCGAGCCGCGTGCGGCTCTTTTGGTGTCCAGTTGCGGCTCTTCAGCTCCATGCACAATAGGTCTAGGTCTAGGTCTAGGTCTAGGTCTAGGTCTAGGTCTAGGTCTAGGTCTAGGTCTAGGTCTAGGTCTAGGTCTAGGTCTAGGTCTAGGTCTAGGTCTAGGTCTAGGTCTAGGTCTAGGTCTAGGTCTAGGTCTAGGTCTAGGTCTAGGTCTAGGTCTAGGTCTAGGTCTAGGTCTAGGTCTAGGTCTAGGTCTAGGTCTAGGTCTAGGTCTAGGTCTAGGTCTAGGTCTAGGTCTAGGTCTAGGTCTAGGTCTAGGTCTAGGTCTAGGTCTAGGTCTAGGTCTAGGTCTAGGTCTAGGTCTAGGTCTAGGTCTAGGTCTAGGTCTAGGTCTAGCTCTAGGTCTAGCTCTAGGTCTAGGTCTAGGTCTAGGTCTAGGTCTAGGTCTAGGTCTAGGTCTAGGTCTAGGTCTAGGTCTAGGTCTAGGTCTAGGTCTAGGTCTAGGTCTAGGTCTAGGTCTAGGTCTAGGTCTAGGTCTAGGTCTAGGTCTAGGTCTAGGTCTAGGTCTAGGTCTAGGTCTAGGTCTAGGTCTAGGTCTAGGTCTAGGTCTAGGTCTAGGTCTAGGTCTAGGTCTAGGTCTAGGTCTAGGTCTAGGTCTAGGTCTAGGTCTAGGTCTAGGTCTAGGTCTAGGTCTAGGTCTAGGTCTAGGTCTAGGTCTAGGTCTAGGTCTAGGTCTAGGTCTAGGTCTAAGTCTAGGTCTAGGTCTAGGTCTAGGTCTAGGTCTAGGTCTAGGTCTAGGAAAATACGTACAAATGGTATTCTAGTGACGACGACGTGGTTGAATGGTACACCACACGACTGACATTTCGAAAGATTTGAGTTCGAATCCCGGCTGTCAATGAGAAATACCTGACTTAAGCAAATGAAAACAAAGGCGGCTGGACTTATTACTGAACACACTTCCATTTTTTATGCCCAGTGCGTTTGAACCAATGAACACATTTTCAACTGCCAGGTGTGTTTTAGGCATTAAAAATAATTATTAAATACGGATTTTTAATAATTATATAATTTCAACACCTTAAGCTTTATAGAAAATTTGAAAAAAATTAAACGTTTTTTTTAAATAAAAGTAATTTACTTATATATAGCATAAGTGTAAAAAGGCAAGACATTTTATTGCCCGTACTATGAAAACGGTGCAGTGAATCGCCAGATAACGACCAGAACATTACAGAAAATATTTTATTTTAAATTTCAGCAACATTTCAGAGATAGAACCGAACTTTTAAGAGTATAATTTTTTTTCTAATTTCAGTGAATTGCTAGAAAAAGACCCGAATTTCCATAAAATATTTTACTTTCATTTCACTTTACAGTAAAACTTTCAGAGAAAGATCCTAAAATTCCAGAAACAAATGTAAATTTCATTTCATGTTTCAGTAAAACATTCAGAGAAAGACCCTAAAATTCCAGAAACAAATTTTACTTTTATTTCATGTTTCAATACAACTTTCAGAGAAAGATCCTATAATTCCAGAAACAATTTTACTTTCATTTCTAGTTTTAGTAAAACTTTCAGAGAAAGATCCGAAAATTCCAGAAAAAAAAATTACTTTCATTTTTCACGTTGCAGTGAATAGCCAGAGAGAGACCCGAACATTCCAGAAAACTTTTATTTTGTGCTGTGCTCTGACGGGGTCTACTCACACCTGTCCACGCGCAACCAACGGACCATCCTACACAACATGTACAACTGTGTCAGTCTGTCAGACAACGCTGAACGACCCCGCGTCACTTGACATACCACGTCTTCTATTGCTTATACAAATACACAGAGGAAGGAACATTTTCTATGTTGATTATGCGGCGAATAAATGTTACCTAACTGTCTTAAAGGCGGCTGGGCATAGTGCTGACCACACTATCTCTTCATATGCCGAGGTCACAGAAACAAGTGAACTCTACTTCACTTGCCCCATAGACTGTCAGGTTTGAAAGGGAAACTTTTTTTTACTTTTTAACTGTCTTAAACATGTGCATCATTTTCATTTATAAAGAGATTAAATAAACAAAGAATACGATAAAGGGAATGTTACCTTATTATCTTAAAAGTGTGCATCATTTTCATTTATAAAGAGATTAAATTAAAAAAAAAGAATACGATAAAGTGAATGTTATCTTACTGTCTTAAAAATGTGCATCAGTTTCATTTATAAAGAGATTAAATTAAAAAAAAAGAATATGATAAAAGTAATGTTACCTTACTGTTTTAAAAATGTGCATCAGTTTCATTTATAAAGGGATAAAAAGAATACGATTAAGGGAATTCTTGCATGTTTAACAAAATGTTGAATTTAAGTACAATCAGAACACATATTCTTATTTTCAAGATGACTTCAATTATGATTATTAAAATAAATTACATTTTTTTTGTATCACATTCATAAAACACAAATTATAGGTCAAATTATATATATATATATATATATATATATATATATATATATATATATATATATATATATATATATATATATATATATATATAAAGAAACAGAGAGAGAGAGAGAGAGAGAGAGAGAAATAATAAAAAAATAATTGCAACACAAACAAGCAAATCGAGATTCGTTAATTGAATTTTAAAAAATCATCAGCAAACTTTGTATTTGTTAAACTTTTACATAGAAAACCATTTCTAATCAACATCTCTATGTATTTCTTAATCATACATGATATTCATCCCATTATGAATGTAGTAATACTTGTCGAGACTTTTTTTTTCATGTATGTTATAGTTTTACATAGAAAACATTTTCAAGTTAATTCCTGTATGCATTTTTTAATCATAAAAAATATTCATTCAATGTTGAATGTAATGTATTACTGATTAAACTATGTCGAAATATCATGTACAGTTTCGTCTGTTCGATATCTAGTACAGTCTCCATACAAGTAAATATGTGCGGATGGGTGGGAGGGTGTTAGGTGGAGGATAAGTTTATTTTTTGTAAATTTGGTTTATTTTAATCAAAACTTCAAGAAAAAAAATAATGCAGTAAATAAATAAACCAGATGTAGCAGCGAAACCAACAAACGTAATTAATGGAAAAAATAATTTTAATCAGTTTTGTGATGAACACAAACACAATCAAAACTTGATTAAAACTAGATCTCATTTGAAATGAACACGATGAAACGGAAGAAGCTTGGTGTTCCAAACATTTCTGTTGAAATAAAGAACAGCCATTTCACTGCATACGTTATTAAAAATGTACGTGTACGTGTAAGTGCACTTACGTGAATGTATATGAATGAATACGAATGTAGACAAATGAATACGAATGGATACGAAAAGATACGAATGTATGCGAATATATACGAATGTATACAAATGAATGTGAATAGATACGAATGGGTACGAATAAATACGAATAGTTGCTAATGGATAAGAATGGGTACGAATAGACACAAATTGATACAAATATATACGAATAGATACGAATGGATTTGAATAGATATGTGTATGGGTATGCGGATGCGTATAGGCGTATAAAAGTATATTGGTATATTTTATTAATAATGTTGTGCATAATCTTACGTTGGAGGTAACATACCATTTTTGAACATTTGCTGGTTCGATTCTAATTAAGATGTTTGTAAATTGATTTCATTTACCTTTAAAAAACACAAACTCCAGAATAAGAGCTGCAAAAGCAAATATATATATATATATAAATAAATAAATAAATAAATAAATATATATATATATATATATATATATATATATATATATATATATATATATATATATATATATATATATATATATATATATATATATATATATATATATATATATATATATATATATATATAAATATATATATATATACATATATATTATATACCGTTAGAGTAGAAAAAGATAATTCTGTAATTTTATGAATGGAGGGTAATTACATGGGGTTAAGTAACAAGGTTGATTTGCCCAAACGTAAAGCCATAGGTTGGAGTAAAGTAAAAGTAAAGTTTCCCTTTCAAACCTGACGGTCTATGGGGCAAGTGTAGTAGAGTTCACTTGTTTCTGTGACCGCGGCATATGAAGAGATAGTGTGGTCAGCACTATGCCCATAGGTTGGAGTGAATAACCATAACTATGGCGCATTGGATACACGTGAATAGTGATACATTTAACCATTAATACCCTTAACTACATAGGGATCGTCCATAAATGACGTCACACTCGTTGGGGGAAAGGGGGGGGGTCCGTAATTTAGTGACGGTGTGTGATGAGGACAGGGGGGTTCAGATGGTGTGACGTCACACTTTTGCATTATAAAAAAGCATTGTTAGAAAACGAGTTTTATCTGTTATATCGCTTTTTAGTAAACTGTTTAAAAAAAATTTGTAATAGGAATTGATTAGTATACTCTATGGTGAGATCAGACAAGATTTCGGAAAAAAAATATCGATGTTTGAGAAAAAATTCAACTGCAATTTTGAGGTTGTAGGCTGAGGAGTGACTTCATTTTAGGGGGGGGGGGGGGGGTCTGGCTTTTTGTGACGATGTGTGACGGATGGGAGGGTGTGGTAAAAAATCGTCGAAAAAAGCGCGACGTTAGTAATGGACGACTCCATACAGATACACACACACTCGCTCTTTCTCTCTCTCACACACACTTACACATACACACACACACACACACATATATATATATATATATATATATATATATATATATATATATATATATATATATATATATATATATATATATATATATATATATATATATATATATATATATATATATATATATATATATATATATATATATATATATATATATATATATATATATATATATATATATATATATATATATATATATATATATATATATATATATATATATATATATATATATATATATATATATATATATATATATTGATTTATATTCATTTATTTTATATGCTGCTTATAGAAAAAGACAACTAAAATACGCGAGGTAGATTTACAGAACATACTTAGCTTTCTTTGTTGTGGTCAAAAAGAAACCAGGTTAGACTTTCCATAACAAAAAATCCAGTGTTCGTAGAGAATAAAATAAGAGTCAAATCAATTTAGGACACATACAACATTTGGTACCTACTCGCAGTAGAAGTAGCTGCAACATCGGTTGTATTGACAATTTTGCCACAGCCCTTGACAGACTATAAAATTTCTAACAAACGAGAAAAAAAATTAAAACCGGAAATAAAAAAATTGAAATAAACTGATAGTGTTTTATAAAACTTTTATAAAACATACGTTACAGCTATGGAGAAAAACATCCAAAGACAACTTTAAAGTACATACCGTTTATCGATTGGATGCTCCACTAAAAGTAAATATTTATTACACTTTGGAGTTTTTTTAAAACTAGGTTTTCATATATATATATATATATATATATATATATATATATATATATATATATATATATATATATATATATATATATATAGGGTTCCATGACAAATGATCTCAGAACAAATTATTTCAGACAAAATATCTCACAGCAAAATTTTAATAGTGTGTAGGATGATTTTAGTTGATCTGAACATTTTTTGTTAATTGACGGTAATATTGTTTGTTTACTTTATTTAATATTGTTTATAGGCCTATATAATAATTGTAAGAAAAGTCTGCCGCATAAATTTGTTATATTCCACTCAACATTTTAAAATTAAGATTACTAATATATTTTCCGAAGATTAAAGACATTGTTCTATAGATTACGCGTGTGAGCCTGCAAAATACGAGACAATGCTACCATGACATGTTTGTGAAACTAGATTAAAGGAAATGAAATGTCCTGTCACCATATATATATATATATATATATATATATATATATATATATATATATATATATATATATATATATATATATATATATATATATATATATATATATATATATTGTTCCATTACAAATGATCTCAGGACAAATGATATATAGCTATATACTTATATATCTTATATTTATATATGACTTTCATATATTATATATATATATATATGTATATATATATATATATATATATATATATATATATATATATATATATATATATATATATATATATATTTATTTATACAAACGTACGTACAAATTTACATATTGAACATGTTTTGCAAATATATACCTGTATATCTTTATAAATATAATCCTAATTATATACAGAAACAATGTACGTCAAAAATCATACATGCTTTAATTTACGAAGATAGTACTAATTGTTAAACTACTACAACATATTTAGCAAAATACCCTGCGCGGAACAAGTGGCTGTAGCAAACAAAGCAAGCAGGAGCATGACACCGGTAACGTTGAACATGTTTGTCTTTCTATTGTGACGGCCACAAACAGAATGATGAGGTTAGTAGATTAGGCTGCAGGTGCTCTGTTATCTCATCAATTCGAAGGTAATCCTTTTGCAGCATCAATCAGGATTAATTGGCGGTCTAGATTTGTGATAGGAATAATTTTTGATTGGTTAAAATTGAAAAAAAAATAATCATCGTCTGTTGTTGATGTAATTGAAATGCACGCGAGCACACACACTACACACACGCACGTACACACACACATACACACACATGTAGGCCTATTTACGTATATATATATATATATATATATATATATATGTATATATGTATATATGTATATATGTATATATGTATATATATATATATATATATATATATATATATATATATATATATATATATATATATATATATACAAAAAGCCTATTTTTCTGCATTTAGTGTAAATCAAATATCATTCTTTGTATTAAATATAACTGAAATATTTGTCTGTATATATATATATATATATATATATATATATATATATATATATATATATATATATATATATATATATATATATATATATATATATATATATATATAAATTAAGATATGCTGTTCAATACACGCAAAGATTAACACAATATATGAAGTACTTTAATCCGATGTGTAGCGTGTGTATACAGGTGTGTTTGTGTCAATCTGTGGTAGTAGTTGTAGTGGTTGGGCTGGTGTGTTGTAGGCATAGGTATTTCTATTCGGTTCTTTTCCGTTATTTCTGTTTCATTTATTCTATTCTGTTGTACTCTTTTCAATTTGGTTCGATTCTATTCTACTCAATTCTCTTGTGTCTATTGTGTTCTATTGTCTAATCTTCTCTTCTATTTCTGTTCTACTATGTTCTATTCTGTTCTAAACTATTCTATTCTATGCTATTGTATTGTATTCTATTATGTTCTGTTCTATTCTGTTCTATTCTGTTTAATTCTGTTCTATTTTTATTCTATTCTATCCTATTTTATTCTCTCCTAGTCTGCTCTTATTAATTTCTATTGTGTCCTATTCTGTTCTGCTCATTTCTATTCTGTTCTGCTCAGTTCTATTCTGAGTAATGCGGCAACCATTCCAATTAATTAAATACCAAAGCACCTGATGTCTAGTCGAGTAACCGAATCTATCATTATGGATCAGGTATAATAGAAAGACAAACATGTTCAACGTTACTGTTGTCATGTTACAGCCGCTTCTTCCGTGCATGAGACCAGATGTATATTGCTAATATGCTGTAGTAATATACGAAATTATACTAGCTTCGTAAATTAAAGCATGTATGATTTTTTAAGTTATTTGATTTATGTACACTCTTGTTTATATATATATATATATATATATATATATATATATATATATATATATATATATATATATATATATATATATATATATATATATATATATATATATTTATATATATATATATATATATATATATATATATATTTATATATATGCATATATCTATTTATATATATGCATATATATTTATATATATATATACATATATGAACAGGGGCGGTAACTTTTTAATGTAACAATTTTTTAAATATTTTGTATACTCTTTTTAAGAAAAAGCAAAAATCATAATGTATAGCATTGTTTTAAATGGATATTTTGTTATAAATTTAAGTTTTGTATTGTATTGAAATTGTAAAATTAATTGCAAAAGTAATTTAATATTATATTTGATTAATAATTTTTAGGAAAGCCCTTTCAGTTCTAATAACCTTGCGAGTAATAAGTTTGCGAATATTCCATCAATTTATGAGCACAATAAAAGTACCCGACTGTATAAAGCATTTAACATAACAGCCAATCACCCATTAATTAATCATTCAATTTCTCAACTGTTTTGAAAACCTAAGCGAAGCTAGGCAGTATGCCTAGTATATATATATATATATATATATATATATATATATATATATATATATATATATATATATAAATATAAATATATATATATATATATATATATATATATATATATATATATATATATATATATATATATATATATACACATATATATTCTTCATTTAAATAATACCCTTGTTTTATAATGTTTTTTTCCTTTTAGTCGAGGAACCAATCGATAAACGGTATGTGGCGAAAAGTCTTCTGCTCGATATTGCTCCATAAAACTACCATAATTTAACTGTATTTTATTAATCATTTTCGTTTTCTTCTTATTTAAATTTCGTTTTTTTTTTCTTTTTTACGAATGTTTTCCAGCGGCTGTGCTGGTCTTGCCTAAACATGCGATTTTGTAGTTAATTATACTACAAGTATGTAGCAGTCGTGTTTTATCCTCTTAATTTGATCGTGGCATTTCACTTTTTTTTTACCAACGCTGGGATAATTATGTCCGATTCAACAGTTTCTGGTACTAATGAATATTTTTTAGTTATTTGGTTTATGTATATTTATGTTGATAAGTGGGTATTTTTTTATACGAAATCTTTCCAAGAATTTTTTTTGGTAGTAACTAAAAATACCGATTAGGCCAATTTCTGTGATGTTGCACCTGCGTAGTTTAGTTATTCATTACTCTGGGTAAAAGTAAAATTGTAAAAAAATAAATATCTATCTATATCTGGCTATCTCTCTCAATATATATATATATATGTATATATATATATATATATATATATATATATATATATATATATATATATATATATATATATATATAATAACATATCCCACCCACTCTTCTTAAGTTACTGAGTTTCTACCCTAATATATATATATCTATATATATATATATCTATATACATCTATATATATATATCTATATATATCTATATCTATCTATCTATCTATATATATATATATATATATATATATATATATATATATATATATATATATATATATATATATATATATACTAGCGTACCCGACCCCCGCGCGTTGCCGCGGGGATAGAAGAAAGTTTGACGAAATATATTAGAAGGATTTCACCAACGCGTTATCAATTATATGTTCTTAGACGCGTGACCTTCTTTTCTAAAAATGAGTTATTTAAATGTAAACAATGCCTGCGCATAAATATCAGGACATGGGTTTACCTACACTACAGGATGAAAACCTTGAGTGTACATTAATCACTCACCGAAATAATATGGTAGAACACACTTCGGTGAACGCCTTGAGTGTACATTAATCACTCACCGAAATAATATGGTAGAACACACTTTGGTGAGCGCCTTGAGTGTACATTAATCACTCACCGAAATAATATGGTAGAACACACTTCGGTGAGCGCCTTGAGTGTACATTAATCACTCACCGAAATAATATGGTAGAACACACTTCGGTGAGCGCCTCTGTGTCAGAGCGTAGAGGGGAGCTCTCAGGCCCCCCACCACCCGATTACACTACCGCATAGGTGCGGCGTACTACCCCTGGCTCTTTTAAACTAACACGCGCCATCGGCCTAATAGCATCCTGTTAATAATGATGCAGATTTCGTCATTCGCTAATGTGACACAAATGATAAGGATTTTTTTCTTTAACACGTAAAATAATTATTTGACGTGTTATAAATATCAGTGTGACTGATGCAATATGCTAGCGTTACTAATGGTCTATTATTAGATGCTCGATCTCAATTTCTAACTGGATTGTCTTATAATAGATGCTTATTGCATCATTCGCAAAGTGACGAAACTCTACAGTAGGCTCCTCATATTCAAAAAGTTATTTTTTCATCTTTCGCAAGGTGACGAAACTGTACAGAAGGATTTCCTCGCGTTAAAAAGTTATTTTTAGAAGCCTGTTGTAGTTTTACCGCTGAATATAGTAGTACTCCTTACTAGCTATGCAGGACGCTCGATTAACGGATGCCAAGTGACAACATAGTCGCTCTAAAACTCTGGGCGCCAAACCGTGTATTGACGAAAGTTGTACCCTATATGGCGCCGCCCATAAGAAACTTTAGTTTTCTTTTTCGCAGAAATATTCTCGGGAGTATTCTCATCCACTCCCTAAAGTTTCATGGTACTCGGATGAACCGCATCCGAGTTTTAATTTTTATAAACCGTGTATAGAGAAAGAAAAAAATCGCTCCCCCCACCCCTGCGGCGCCGCCCTTGCAATATTAAACAATATGTTTTTTACAGAACCCTACCATTGAGTGATCTAATCATCTCCCCAAAGTTTCATGGTACACGGATGAACGGTGTGAAACCGAAATTTTATAAACCTTATACAGAGAAAAATCGCAGCCTCCCGTGGCGCCGCCCTTGCGAAATTAAAAATGATTTTTTACAGAACCCTTCCCTAGAGTTTTATAATGAACTCCCCAAAGTTTCATGCCTATCGGATAAACGGTGTCACTGCAATACACTTTAATTATTTTTATATACCGTAAATAGAGAAAAATCGGACCCTCCCGTGGCGCCGCCCTTGCGAAATTAATTTTTTTTTCCACAGAACCCTTCCCTAGAGTGGTATAATGAACTCCCTAAAGTCTCAAGACTTTCGGATGAACGATGCTAAACCAAAATCTACTTTTATTTTTATATACCGTATATAGAAAAAAAAGCAAATCGCGCCCTGTCGAGGCGCCACCCCTGCGAATTTGAAATAATTTTCCGCAGTAACCTCCCCAGGAATATTTTCAATAACTTCCTAAAGTTTCATGCCTATCGGATGAACAGTGTCACTGCAATTCACTTTTATTATTTTTATATGCCGTATATAGAGAAAAATCGGACCCTCCCGTGGCGCCGCCCTTGCGAAATTAAAAATGATTTTTTATAGAACCCTTCCCTAGAGTGGTATAATGAACTCCCCAAAGTCTCATGGCTATCGGATGAACAGTGTGAAATCAAAATAGACTTTTATTTTTATATACCGTATATAGAGAAAAAAAAAAAGCGCCCTGTTGGGGCGCCACCCCTGCGAATTTGAAATTTTTTTTTCGCAGAAACCTCCCCAGGAATATTCTCAACAACTTCCCATAGTTCAACGACGATGTGATAAGAGGTGTGGTAATGCATAAAAGACACACACACACACACAGACACACAGACATACATTGCTTTATATATATATATACTAGCGTACCCGACCCCCG